TCTTATCGATTACGATATCATTATTTCATAAGTGGTTAAGAAATCCATAAACATTGTCAGTGAGCTAAAAGATAAAATTACCTTAATAACTTGGCGCCACACCTATCTTGTTTGCCGCTCCTATCTATTGCAATTAGTGCCATCTGTTGGGGAATATTTCTTTTGAAATTGGTTAACAGACTAACTACTTGGTAATTTCTGATGATGGTTTCCAATTCACTGCTCATGTAATTTTTGAAAGGATTTTAGAACCAAGAATGTAGAAACCAAAAAGTATTTACATATTTATGAAGAATTAGATCGCCACTGTTTAAAAATGTAAATAGGGTACAGAAATTCCCAAAAACTTCCTAATAACGAATGTACTCTACCGTCCAATAGATGGCGCTTTATATTCAAACGGTGCGATTGCAATTCGGTTGTAACAGTCTATCGCTAATCTAGGTGCACCGATCAAACCCGATTCATTTTTATACCCTTGCAGAGGGTATTATAACTCCAAGTCCAAGCAAGCACTTCATGCCCTGAGTGCCCTGGAGTGCTATAAGCGGGGATTAGAGAAAAAGCTGGCAGCACGCGATAAGCAACTTAGGAGTTGAATTCCTGGAGCTGCAACAGGATCAGCCACAGCGCCTGGATGAATCCTTGCAGGCGCCCAGCGAAGTGGGTAAAGTTTCCGGCAGTGTCAATGTTCCCCTCGAGAATTCCCCAAGACGTGGCCAGGACGATGGTGCAGCCAGCTCGGAGATGCAAAACCGTTACGGTGAAGTCCTGGCTGAAAACGAGATCCTACGCTCTGGAATGTACGAGATTCTGGAGAAGTTGCGGGAGTACGACGGTGAGTTGGCAAGCCTTAAACATCCCGATGAGGAGATTCCCTGTATTGATACAGCCACAAAGGCCGAGTTCTCCAACCGAAGCCACAGAGGGGCTACAAAGACCCGTCATTCCGGATCCCCAAACAGAATCCAGATCCGAGAATCTTGCCGAGCTCTCCATTCTCCGTAAACATTACGAGGAACTGCGTCTTCACATGTCCGCCGATGGCAGTGAACTATTGAATCAAAACCAAAACCTTCACGATAAATTACTAAGTTCGGAGTTACAACTGGAAAAGCAGAGGAGTTCCTATAGTTATATGCGAAGGGACTACGATCAACTGCTCACAGAGTCTAGAAAACAGGAGCTTAGTTTTATAGGGGAAAAGGCATCTTTGGCCAGAAGTATAGAGCAGCAAAAGGGTGAACTATTAGAGACCAGAAATCAATTGCAGGAACTAAGAAGTGGTAATTTATATACCGCTGAGGAGCAGCAAAAACTGGAGCAACGTAATGCCATTCTGAGTATGCAGCTTGGTCAGGCGGTGGAACAAATGCTGGGAGAACTAAAGACCTCGGAGATATGTGCAGAGTATGGCATTATCAAGGAAAACTATCAGTTGGATTATATCACAGCCGAGGACTTTGAGAGGCAGCAACAGGAGTTGGCCAACTGGCGGAGTAAAGAGGAGGAACTGCAGAGGGAAACCAAACATTTGGGGGGACTCCTTCAAGTGGCCAATGGACAGGTAGGTCACTCCAGCTAATAATCATCCAATTTACCTCTAATTTCTTGGAATTCCTTAGATTCATTCCCAGCAAAGGTATCTCAATGAGATCACTGATACCCACATTAACCTGCGACATTTGGTGGCTGATCTCCAAAGTAGTTCCGATGAGAAACTAATGGTGGCCAAGGTGCAGCGGGATTTGCACGGTGGTAGGGGTAGTTTTCTTTCTATATAAGTTATATATTACATATAAGATTAACTTCCAGTCAAAGCTGAGTGCTACCGCTTGGAAACAGAGAGAGAGAGAGAGAGAGAGCAACTGCAGCAGAAGGTGGATTCCAAAAGTTCCAACGCCGCCTGGAGGAGGAGCAAATGCAGCAGCGGCTAGAAGATCACACTGCCCTGATCGATGAAGTAACCGCAGTGGTTCAGGCCAAAATAGCGTCCAAAGAGGAGAGTTCCCAGCAGCTGGTGAAACCCAGACTTTTGGAACAGCGTTGTGAGGTACTTCAGACCAAACAGGAGGTGCTCCTCAGGGAGCTGGGTGAATTGAGGCTTCGACAAGCCACTGACACCGAGCACTGGAGTACCATTCAGGCTTTGTTTGGCGATGGAGTTACCCAAACCCAATCCAAGGTGGATGCGGAAACCAGCACGGATGCAGTGACTCCTATTCCGGACATGCGAAGAGCCGCCCCAGATGTCCAAGTTGAGGACATGGAGTCCAGGAGGGATTCCCAAGTGGAGCTACAGAAAATGCAGGAAACGTAAGTATAAGTAATTGATATAAAAGGTATATATCATATATATAATCCCAAATAGCCTCCAGGAGGCCAAACAAAGAATTGAGGTCCTTGGCAAGCAGTTGGAGGCTTCCAGATCGCAGAGCCGCAAGTCCGAGAGTCCCCACAGTGGAGTGGTGGAAAATACCATACTATCCTTCCACACTCTACTCCTCGAGAAGGATCAGTCCATACAGAAGTACCAGGATCTCCTGCAGACAGAGAGGGATCAAAGTCAATTGGCCATTAGTAAATCTGGAAACGAATCTCTCAGGGCCACTGTGAATAACGTGAACTTCAATATCAAGACCAAGGATGCAGAGATTCAGGAGTTCAAAAGGAAGTTCGAACACAAACCCAAGGCGGTTTTGGAGCGTTCTCCAACTACAGATTCCACTTCCAGTGCCGAAAACTCTGTTAATGAACTTACGGATGAGAAGATCGAGGAACTATTTGCTCGGTGGTGGAAAGACCTGAAGAAGAGGTGGAAGTACATCAAGAAGATCCAGTAACCGAAGAACCAGAAGGAGAGGAAGAGAAGGAGGACACTGAGGAGCTCAAGGAAGTGCCCACTCTTCACAAACAAGTCAAGGAACTAAGGAAACTTTAGTACCCTGAGAAGAACCTGAAAACGAGGGAGGAGGAAGGGGAAATATTGAAGGACAAGTAAGTTGTGATGTCTAAATAAGATGGCATAATAATCCTTAATTTTTAAAATAGACTTAAACTCATCCAGGAGCGTGAAAAAACCGTGGAGAGCAATATGAGTCCAGAACTGGATCGGCTACGCACCCTGTTGGATGAGAATAATAAGCAAATCAAAAATTTGATGGATACTCTCAGGAACTTCCATGTAGTTATATTTATTTAATTTTAGAAACGATTGGTTAATATTTGTTTCTTTATTAAACAGGGCGACCAGCAACGCTTTATTGGAAGTGTCTTCCAATTTCTCGGAGGATCAGATAACCAAGTTGGAAGCCGATCTCAATCGCACAGAGGCCACCAACACGATCTACCACACCCAAATAGAGGCACTGCGTCGCCAGTTGGCCAATGTCACAACACCGCAGAAACAGGCCCGAGATATGAGTCAATCGCTGCGCCAGTAGTTACTCAAACGTCCAGTGGTTTCCATTAAGACGGAGCTGAACCGAGAACCAGCAGAAGCGCATCCAGCAGCTGGAGACGGATCTGGATGAGGCACGTGGTCACGTGCAGCGACAGCAGACCCTCATGGAGGCCAAGCGAACGAGGAGTGCCAACGAAGTGCAGCTCTGGGAGAAGCAGAAGCGGTATCAGCGGCAGGCGGAGAAGACCAAGGCCAGATTGGAGGAGACGGAGTTGGCCTTGGACAAGACCCGAGCCCTCCTTCAAGCGGCACGCGCTACCATTGCCCGGTTGGAGAAGGACAAGCAAATACTCGAATCCAAGCTGGGCAGAAATGGGCCAGTTAGTAGTGGCTCCACCAATAACCTCCAATGCTGCCGCACTTCATCCTGCCCGAATCTCCAGCTTGTGGGTGTCAATAAGTTCATGCCATCGCCTTCGGAGAGTCCGGAAACGTACACGGGTGCAGCGAGTGCAGTTCTCCCGCTCATAATCCCCAGCCTCAGGACGGCCATCGTGGCCACTTTTGCGACCAGAGCCAGGCGGATCTCATAGAGGCCCTCAACCCCAGCATTGAATTGCAGCAGCGCAAGATCATCGCCATGGAAGTGGAGGGCAGGTGCAGTAATGCCTTGACCACGGAGCTGGCGAAGATGCAGAAGCGTAGCCAGGCCATCGAGGCGCAGAACTTCCGACTGGAGGCCACGAATCTCCACCTGCAACTGGACTCGGATCTCTTGAGGCAGGGAGACAGCAGCGATCGGTTGCAGAAGAGGATCAAGCACGTGGAGGAGTGAGTATAGATGGGGCTTTCTATTATGGAGCTCCTTAAAAAATGACATTAAAACTCATATACCAGTTTTCCCAGCTACATCCTGGCCCTCAAAGAGGAGATGGCTCGCAACGAATCCCGTCGAGAGTTGTTCAAGTGCAGTGGCCTAAAAGTGAACACGAATCAGGGTCAGTCGGCGGAACAGACGATCTTATCGCTGCGCAATCTCGTGGAGAAACTGCGCTCGGAGAATAAGTTCTTGAAGGATGGACGACGATCCACGGAGTGCAGAGCTGCATGAATGAAATTAGCGAAAACAAAGATCAGCAGAAACAAAAATAAAACTAATGTTTTTTTCACTTTTTCGGGTTTTTGAAAGTAAGCGCCCCTTTTTTAGTGTTGCCAGATCGAGCTAAGGTAATATCGGTTGCCAGTGGTGACAGCTCACAACTTTTTGAAAATATTTTGGTTTTATGAATCACTTATATCAATGACCTAAATAATTTTAAGATATTGATCTTGGTTTTAAGGAATCCAAATTAGTAAAATAATAAATTCATTTTATTGGTAGTCATTAAATAAATAATTTTATATACGGTTTGTTCTATAAACTTATCTATTGTGTAAAATATTACTTGAAGATAAAAGTTATCGAGAACTTTTGAAAAAATATATGTAAATATAATTTAAAATAAACGTAATAAAATGTTCGTGAAATGAGGCAGTAAGTCTTAGACCGTTACTATTTAAGTCGTGACTGGTTCACCAACCATCGCACATCTTTAGTCTTATCTATTAAGTAGCGTGTGAATGCAACAATAAACACCGGAGCTCTTTTATCGAGATGTCGTACCAAGGATACCAGCAGCTACTTGTGGAGCAGCAGGGCAAGCTGCTCGTGGTGAAGTTCAACAACTCGAAAAAGAAGGACTGGATCAACAGGTTCACCTACCAGGAGATGACCCGGGTTCTGACCAAGGTCAACGAGGACGAGGGCGTAAACCTAGTGGTTTTCACCGGCGTGGGGGATATTTTTACGGCCGGAAATGACTTGACTCAATCTGCCCAGAGTGATGATATCGATGTCTTCTTCAAACAGTCTAATGCGGCTTTTAAGGCCATGGTTCTGAGTTTTGTGAACTGTAAGAAGATAGTGTTTGCTTTGGTCAACGGACCGGCAATCGGAATTGGAGCCACCATTGTGGGATTGAGCGATGTGGCCTGGTGCTCCGAAACGGTGAGTTCATAATGGTTTTCTAGTATTGCATTATATTTTACCTGTAATTACCATTTCAGGCCTACTTCCACACCCCATTCACCAAGTTGGGTCTCGTGCCAGAAGGTGGTTCCTCCTATACAGGGCCATCGAGAGCCACACCGGGCCCCGAGACACGAGACATTCTTCGATTCTTATTTCAACTATACAGTTTACATCAGAAGACAACATTTTATAATTTTCTTTTTCAATTTTTCTTAACATCAAAATTTTCGAAACAAATTTCTCGGTTCTGGGCCCCTGACCAATGCGGGCCCCAGGAGAATGGCCCGGCGGTCCCCGCCTCTCATCGGGCCTTCTCCTATATGCTGCCCCTAATCCTGGGCCGTTCTAAGGCCTCGGAAATCCTGCTCCTAAATGAACGCCTCTCTGCCCAGGAGGCCTATCAATTCAACTTTGTTTCCCGTGTCTTCAAGACCAGCGAACTGGATTCCGTCATCTGGCCAAAATTGCGTCAGTACTCCGAGTTACCCACAAACTCTTTGCTGCAAGGAAAACGCCTCATCAAGGAGGGATTCCTGAAGAATATCCTGGAAGACAACGAAGCCGGGTTTAAGCAATTACTACTAGAGCTCCAACATTCGGAATTCTTCCAGGCCATCACGGGTTTCAGTAGCCGCAATGCCAAGTCCAAGTTGTAAATTAAAGTGGCATAATTCCTTAATTTTTATTTTTGTCTAAAAGAGCTGTTCTTTTATAACCTTGCAGATGGTATTATAATTTCAGTAAAAAGTGAAGGAGACATTTCCGACCCTATAAAGTATATAATTTCTTGATCAGGATCGCATCCTAAGTTGATATAAGTCCATGTGCCAGTAAATTGGGAGTGAAACAGGGAGCGGGGAAGTGAAAAGATTGGGAAATCGGGAGCGAACCGGGTAAGATCAGCGATATCGCAACCAGAACTCAATGCAATCGACTATTCAAAAGTCCGCGCACTGTTATCTATATCGGTGGAGCATTTGGGTTATAGAATGCCGCTGCATTTCCATTTAATGTTCAACCTCACACATAGCATTTTAAAGCTTCTTCTATTATGGGAATGTTTACAAGCCAGATCTGTGGTCTTATCGATTCCTACGGCGGTCGAGATGTCCTGATGGAGGCGCTGTGCCAAAGTGCCAAGTTGGTGGCAGGATACCAAGCCAAGCGGAATCCAGACCTGGCCCAAAGGTGCGCCACCGTTAGCTCGAAAATCTCGGCAGCCAGGTCCACTCTGCGGCTGATCGACGACCTGCCCGTTATCCAGTACACCCTGGAGTACGGCTTGGGCGACGATGAGCCGGATCGTATAACGGCCGTACTGGGAGTGATGTCCAACGCGGTGGACGTGCTCTTCTATCCCATCGAAACTATCTGCTGGCTGGCCGAGCATAAGGTTCTGGATGTGAGAAACAAGGCTGTCTGGAGCTATGTCAGCTCCATATTCAGTGTGCTCTCTGCGTATCTGAGCCTTGTAAGGACATTGCGGACTTTTTCCCAAAATCGGGACAAGCTGAACAGCCAGGATGCGGTGTCCCTCGCTCGCATCTCCCTCGATCTTGTCCAAAACAGTCGTCTACGTACTTTTTGGTACGCTAATTTGGCTGTTGTATTTTTATACCGTCCTTATTAGAAATTGTTTAGTTATCAATTTTTAGTAAATAATAAAATTG